AGCCGTTAAAGGCAGAGAGTGAAATTCAGTGAATACACGTAGTTTACAGAGATGCTGTATGAGAAACCAATGTGAGTTTGGAAAATTGCACAGTATAAATCTATTTTAGTATACCTCAACAATGGAATTATGATCAGTGGAAATGGCCATGACACCTCTCCTTTAATAGAGAAAGACCATTGAGTTGTTTTGACATTTGAATGCAAAAAAGCAGTCAGACAAAAATACTGCCGCACATAACACAATACTTTACAGTAAGCACATACCTCTGTGTGTAGGCCACATTTAGATCTATGACCCTATTTCTGTTTTTATTTCACAATCTTTTTTTTATTAAGTGCACCCTCCCTCTGTCAGCCTCTCAGTTTTTAATCTGTGACGTTCAATTTGGTAAACCAGCCTTTAATCAACATCGGTAAAGGCTTGGATGGACAAAATGACCAGACGTGCTCCTTGACTGTGGACATTGGGAGAAGGCCACCTCTAAATCAGACTTCTGGGGATGACCCAGACCTATGAATCCCTTCAGGATTTGTGGCATTGGGCCTCAAGACAGATGTGGTTTAATACCTCTCTCTGAGCTGTAAGAAATGGCCCTGCAGAGTACATTCAGGAGGTCTCATTAAGTCCTGCTCTATCTGCAGATGTCAGGGAAGACAATTTATCTTCCTCACTCTTGCTGTATGACACATTGAACACTACACTCGGGAGCAGTCTCGCCATCATGTCTGTCACTGAGAAGCTGAATACATTAATGAACTAATCCATCTTCTCCAGAGACTATTCATTACTGACCTCCCAGTCCGACACAACAAACGTGAACTATATAAAACCTCCCTCTGGCTAGTTATTATTTTCTGCATTCTTTTGCTCCCCAACCCAATTTATTTTGTGCTTAAACTATACGTTAATGTTACTCAAAAACAGCCTCCATACCCCAAACATTTTGCAAATGTTGTGAGGATGTAGCTTATTCATGTCCATAGGAAAGTTCACATCTTGTTCTGTTGGACGTTCCACCACACTGTCTTTAAAAAAAAAAAAAACAGCCTATGAAAACGATTTGCTTGCAGAAATATTAATCAATGAACAATAAGTAATTATTTTTGTGGTCAGTGTACTGTATAATGCATTTCTGCAGAGTTTCTGGATGGTGTTTTAGCAGTTCAGGCCAACTGAAAGTGCCAAACATTGGATGCCTGCCATTGGCCGCTGATGAGCAAGTTGCAGTGACTCAAATAATCAGAGAGCTTGCATATGACACCAGCATAGCAGAGATGCTTTTATAGTAAATACAAGTGCCTTTAAATAGATTTTAGGGAACCTTGTGTGTTAAAACTCAGAGAACCAGATTTGGATCTCTGTCGAAGCACTGTTGGCTATTGTATGACCAACGGTGGAAGATTTAAACAGATCCACAATAGTAAAGGTTCAGTTTTAGTATAAAAAAACATGTATTTATGACCAGTACAATTGAGAATTGGACTGTTTGATGCGTTATAGTATTGCTTGCATTTTACTCCTGAAGTTGGTTGAGCAATTTCCAAATACTCAGATCATGATTTGATATCTTAATCTAAAAGTAAATTGGAATATTACCCAAAAAACTAATTGGGGTAGAATTTACAAAATGTTCTTGTTACATTTAGTGGAGTCGTATAATGTACAAAGAACCAGTTACATGAGTAAAGTACTGCACATCATGTATTTAAAAAAAATAATTTCTTAATGTTACACGTTGAATTTTACACTCCTAACCACTGTTAGGAAGTGAACAACACACTTAAAATATCTCCAAAGTATCCAGAGATCATCACAAAAACATCTTAAAACAATGAACCAATTAGATGGGTGTATCCCGCTGCAGGGGATGGATGGTGGGCAGTCAATATCTTCACATGAGTCTGTGACTGACTCTCCGGTACAGGAGCCAAGCACTCCAGGTAATGAACTGCCTGCTTGATATATATCCCTCACAGGGTTGGATTGCAGTGGTGCAACATGGTACTGCAACACCAGCAAATTATTTGATTAGCCATTTCTCTTCCATGACGCTTCCCTTGCACACAGAGAAATCTCTTACACACATGCGCTTACTGTCTAACAGTGTTTCAACATGTCCGCTGTCAAACTCTCATGAGGTTTTATAGGGTTATGCTGTCTTTTCATGATGCTATTGCAGATCGTGTAACCCTGGACACATCTGAACCAATGAGGAGTTAAATGCTGTTTTAGCTTCTTTTTTTCTTTTTTTCCTAAACTCTATTAAACTCCCCTGAAATGAAAAGCACAAATCATTTTTAGAGCTGTATCCTGGTATTTTTCGTCCACTGAGCATCCAGAAAGGCAACCTGCTAGAGTGAACTTGATGAATGATTTAAAGTTGTGAGCAAATTGTCTGTAAAGGCTGAAAACAGCTCATATCCAGAACAAAACAACAGGGCCTCTGCTAACATGTGAGCACACCAGCCGGGACTTGTAGACCCCCCCAGGTTAGTGTGTGTAACAGAATCATCCTGTACATCAGGGTTGCCAACTTTGGGTACCTGGCTGGAGTGAGATTTTGATGTCATGGGTTTAATTACACATATGTGCACTACTGTAAATGAATGCTATCGTGTCAGTAGCGGGACCTTAGCATATATATATAGGATATATTGTAGTGGTTGACATAATTCACTCATGGAACTACAGGTTGGGGGTATTGTTCCGCACGGACATGTTTGTTGACTGTACGTACTGTGTGCCCACCTGTCTTCTTCCTAATAAATATATATATATAAAAGACATCACAAAGTGCATTTTGCATGATAGGTCCCCTTTAAAATAGTTCTCCAACTAATCTGAGCAGACCACCTCTAAAGTTTAGTTTCTCATCGTAATGATCAATATTTTTTATGTCAAACAAGAAGTTAATAACAAACAAACCAAAATGTGCCAAAGACCTGTAACAGGCTTTCTGCAGCCCCCTTTTTGGATCGTATTAATTATAGGATCCCTGGCTTAAATCCAAAGTGTAAACAACTTTCTTGCTCTCTGATCCAAAGTCACAATGTTGAAAGTATTTCACAGAATGTTTCTGTGCAAATTGTCATCACTGTATATTAGGATGCCTTAGGCGTCCATTAACAAAATGAGCTGGTTCATATTTAGCAGTCATGTTTCACCACTCATGTCTACACTGCAGTTCATTTTATAGTATAGCTGGTGGTTTGTCATGATTTGGCGTGTCATAATAAAGTGAGTGTGATAGAAAAAGGGGGTAGGTGCAAGGTTTTACTTATTTTAAGCATTTTATACCACCATTTTGTCTGGCATTACAAATAGTAATATGTTTTTCTGATTTCAATTTAATTTAAAAAAGTGATAAAGTGCAGTGAAGCCAGTCTTACTTTTTGAAGATCTCCAAACACAAAACAACATTGTTATTTACTGAGGTGAAGTAAACCCATAACACAGGAGATTTACAGTACTTTTATTAAATTAATGTACACTTTAAAGTCCCCCCTCAACTCATTAATGTGTGTTTCTTATTTTGACTTCACTTGGATGTTTGAGCTCCACTGTTCAGAATGATGTATGAGCAGAGTTGCACAATTCTCTACACAAAACCAGACATGCATCCTTTTTCTCGAACAGGTTTTAAGTCTCTGCAAATGGATATGCAGCGATATCATATAGAGATTAAGGAAAAGCACTCACTATAAGGTACCGTAGGACAAACACATTTAGCCATCTTTAACACTCCCATATGTTGCAAAATGATCTGCAGTAATATAACAAATATATAGTTTGTAGAAACGAACAAAAACTATAGTCGTATAGATCCAATTGTTGTTTCTTTCAGGACTTGGATTTAACAATATGATATTGCTTTAAATGTTTGAAATCAATGAAAACATCTGTATTCTGTGCAAACAATCTGACTGTGCCCCCAACAAGTAATGGTAAAAACCTAATCAGTCCCATTGATCTGCTCTCAATGATCCAGAATAGAAGTCTTCAGAGTTAGAATTTATAACCCAAGATGAGTCCCTTTGGGTTTCTCTTCACGCCGGACACAGTTCCATGGCCATTATAATGAGGCTTTAAGTAGCGTGGCGACTGTAAATCTGCCTTGCCAGGAATGCACTGCCCCTTGTCTGACTGGACCTCACCTCACTAAATCTCACATCCAGGCCCAGAGAATAATGTATTGTCTTCTCCTGAGCACACTCGCCAAAACAGTGTGAAGTCAGCAAATGATTGCAAGTCATTGTGATTGTCAGCTAATTGTTAATGGGAAGAGAATTAAGCCCAGATATCTATATCGACATCTGCTCTCAGATATGTCTGGGTTGTTGTATTGAGGATGCTGTGACAACAGGATCCTTTCTCTGGCATGTGACTATACTGGGCTCAAGATCCTCTGATATGATTTTTAACAATTTCTTGGAGGATCCACAGGTCTGCATGTTTTTAATTGAGTTGTGTGTCTTTACTGTAGGTAAATACTGAATCCAAACATACTCATATTATTGGGTGTGTGGGGGCAAAAGATGTTAGACAAATACATATGAGTCATACTTAATGCAATGAGTGTATATTAGCCTATTACTCCCCCAACATTCAGGCAGGCACGTCTTAACCGAATCCAAGCAAAAGTATTCTATATCAACACAAATCAACAAGTTTCCCTGTCTATTTGCAAAACACAGCTAATAACAGATTCAGTGGCATTTTAGGCATATGTTACCTTCTATCTAAAACAGCTCCTGAGGTGGTGCACTCACATTAGCCAAACACAGACCGGGAGCAGGACCTGAGGACTCGCTGGAGAGAGCAGCGCGCCAGGGCAGGCTGTGCGCTTTGGCAGAGCGTAAATACCCGAGAGAGGGAACTCAGAGAATTTCATGGGACGGATTGCTGTAAAGTAACCACACCACGGAGCAACGGATATCGCTATTCGGTCAATTATCTCTTTCTCGTGCATCAGCACGAGAGCGTGTATCATTCCGGAATGCCCGAGAGGAAGAGCGCGGAACACCGCAGCTTTGAGGCTTCATCACCGAGAGCTCCCGCGGAGCAGATGGTGCCGAAAAAATGACTCGTGTTCTCTCCATCTTCGCATACTTCTTCTCTTTGATCCACTGTAAGTGTGTCTTTCTTTACATTATGTGACCCAAACTACTTAGAACTGTTTTGCTTGTATTTGTTTGTCAGCTCCACATTTGTTTTTGGGGAAAGTGCTTCTGTTGGGAGAAGTGATTGTGTTTCGTGAAGTGTCCCGAAGTCGAATTGCAGCTCTTTATTTGGATTTAAGCTACGTTTTCAGTACAGTTGGTAAATTGTGTAGCTTACACGATAACAGAGACCAAACATTTCTTACTTTATTGTTCAACCTACAAATAAAATGTGAGATCTTAAAAATAGTATTTTATCTTAATCAAAAACACATGCATGGATAGCATGTATGTTTTTTTTAGGTGTAATTTGATTATCAGTCATGCCATACAATGTGGCCTGTAGTAGGCCTAGTCATCAAACCAACAGCAAGTGCAGGGTCACATCCACTTTGCCTCTACAACAATATATGACAATTGTACACATAGCAAAATGTCACATTATTTGAAGAATTTGAGGCTTACATTTATGTGGGTTTCCTTGGTAAAAAACACATTTACTTCACTATTTATCTCACAGGATATATATTTTCAATTGGAATATAAAGAGTACCCCATACTGATAATCCCACATACTGATAATCCCACATACTGACAAGCCTTTTATCAGATGGTTTAACATGTAAGTGGTGAATCCTCTTGTCTTTCAAAGAAACAATGCCACTACATCTACTTTTTTCTCCATGTAAGCGAAAGGAATAAAAAGACCAAGAAGATGCCCAAATCTTATTAACACTGATATTGAAGTCACCAATACAATAAGTATAAGTGGATGAAATTAGCATTTATACTTTGTACCTGACTCAACCTATGCCCAATGTTTTGCTTCATTCACACACTTCATTATGCTTTCAAACATAATACACGTTTGAAAAATAATGTTTTTCAGTGTGCTGTGCAGAGTGACCTTATCAACTTCACAACAGCTGAATGTACCATTAACACGCCTGACCTCACTCTCGATCAACATAATGTCAACAGAACACTTATAAAGCACTACACATTTAACACATTTAACCTAAACACACACACACACACACACACACACACACACACACACACACACACACACACACACACACACACACACACACACACACACACACACACACACACACACACACACACACACACACCAGTGGCAGTCTACAGCAGGTAATCACAAGTTTGGGTGGTTTGATAGCGCCCTGTACCTCTGGGGAAGGCAGAGCTTGTTTCTGTCAGGTCTCCGAGGGCTTTGACAACACACCATCTGTGGAGTGCTGTGGAGATCCCACTGTATTGGATGGGATCTGAGCCAAGTGACTGACAAAGGCACAGTCATGGCAGCCTGCGCTGACCCATGCGGCCAGACTGACTGCATGCCACGCCCTGCAAAGCCCCGGGAGTCTGTGTGCCGATAATGGCACACACAGTTTGATACTGCACAGGAGAGGCACTGGAAGTCTAACAATGTTCCTAATTGTACGCTGCAGCATCACGTAGCTTGAAAAACAGGCATATGTGCTGATTCTCTGGAGTTCTGCAGCCATGAATATCACTCTGCTGAGTATTGACAACAGTAGCAGTGGGCCCATTAGTATCAGTCCCACCTCATTGGAGGGCTTCCCACAAGAAAGCCGACTCAGCTACTTCAGACCATGTGGGGGCATTAATAACCTGCTGCATGCAAGGCAAATGGAAGAGCTACTGCTACATGTTTTCATTTGGCTCCAAATGAGAAGCACTGATCATCAGTTTCAATCAGGCTTGTCTTCACCCCTGATGTGGGCTTCATTTATCAGGGATGGAGGTAGAAGGAGTCGAAGGTTACTCTTAGCCTATTCTCACTTGAGAGATGCATCCAGTGGTTTGGCTTTATGAAGAAGCAACATTACTCAAATGCTTCGAAAAATATCTGCGCTTTTTGGGGAAATTACTTTAGGGCCTTCATTATAGTATAATTTCCACAACACAGCCATCCCTGGCTTCCTTAATTGGCAGCGGCTGTTTCCCTTAAGAGTTTATGTGCAGTTTGTATGAGGCAGTCAGACACACTCAAAAGATAGAGGAAGAACAGTTTTTTGTTAAACAGATTTATTCATTATTGTGTTTCAGTGTATGAAATATTGATTTAAGTATCATAATTCGATAACTTAGTGCCAAAGCAGGAAATACGAAAAGAGTGACTTGTAGAAAATGTAGTTTTTAGGTCGTTGTAAACCAGTGTTTCTCAAACTTTTTCAAGGACCACTTAACCAATAAAGAAACACTCGCGGACCACCTAACTCCACAAATATCCAAAATCACATCGTTTTTCTAGAACAGATTACAAATTGCCTGAAAATGGTACAAACAAGTGGCAACATGTGTGATGAAGGTTTTACGCTGGGCTATATCATGCAATCGAAAGTGAAACTTGAGCTTGCTCCATTGCGGAGATATTCCCGCGAGAGTGCGGAAAACTTAAATGTATTTATTTATTTCAAATGTGAAATGTTACCAATATACTCACGGACCACTATTGGGCGCTCACGGACCACCAGTGGTCCGCGGACCACACTTTGAGAAGCACTGAAAAACAATTGTTTTCTCATATCTGAATGCCCAGAATGGCCAGAATGTTTAACAGCAGTAGTCTTGTTTGTTCCATAGTGGGAAATCAATTCAATTGTGATTTTCAGATGGTTTGTTTCATTAAAGGTGGGGTAGGTAAGTTTGAGAAACCGTCTCGAGATACACTTTTTGTTATATTCCATGGAATGCTCTTAACATCCCGATAGCAATGAATATCTTAAGTGCTTTGACAAAAAATCCATAAAAAAATGTCATCTGTGGAAGCCGTAGTACTGTAAAAAGCACGACCAATCATTTTAGCCGGCCCGGCTAAAATAACTGGATGGCCTACCTGCCTGTCAGCCTTCCATCTGTGCACAAACTTATCTCGTGCCCTCATTGGTCATGTGCGCGTTCGTGTGTGTTGGAGGAGGGGCTCTGTAAGGAAGTGGCAGATTTTTTCCGGCTGTGTATTTTCAAATTTTAGCGATCTCAAGCTGGTTTCTCCAAAATTACCTACTCCACCTTTAAGTGGCTGCAAACAACTTAGTAGTTTAGTTGTTTTATAAGTGGATCTGTTTGAAAACAAGAACGAACCTTACATTTTCAGAGCATAAAAGTCTCTCTCCATGGATACCTAGGTCCAATTTCTCCAAGGTCCAAGTGGTTTGGCTTGATACTGATGTTTGGGATGTGTAAACATCTGCATAAACATAATCATTTGAAAACATGTTGTCACCAGGTACCAGCAGTGCTGACTCAGAGGAGCGTCTCATGAACTGGTTGCTGGGAGAGGATCGCTACAATCTGCTCATCCGCCCGGCGGTCAACAGGAGCGAGAGAGTCCCAGTGAAGCTGCAGGTGTCTCTGGCTCAGCTCATCAGTGTGGTAAGGCACCAAATACTTCTACCCATCATGTGTGTGCATCTGTGTGTGTGAGGGAGACAAGATGACAAAGAGAGAGGCAGAAAAAGAATGAAAGAAAGAGGATTAGGGGTGTTGAAATTAATTGTTTCTACGATGCATCGCGATGCGGACGTGGACGATTCTCTTGCTATTTTCAGACGATACGTGCGTAAAGTTTGTGAAGGCAGGAGGAAAAAAGCTTCCGCGATCACGTCTCCTGTGTTCCTCCAAACCCCGCCCCCCTCTGAAAATAATGAGTGACAGGCTGATAGTGACCCGATAGAAACTTTATTATTCACTTAATCACTGATTGAGATATGATGAAGCTAATCTCCTACAATCATGGGATTAATGTAACAGTAAGACAGAGAATGTAAGTGTGCACCCACATGCACTATTTTTGTTTTTATATGCTGTTGTTGTAAATACTCCTGTTGTCTGCTGTGTTCAGACTCAAGTCATGTTTGTGATGCCACATTCAGGACCTTCAGTGTCCTTTTTTTTTTAACAGAAGACCGTTGCTAGAAGCTGCAGCTAGACCGCAGAAGCATTCGTTTTTTGTTTTTGAGGATGGAACAATTTCACACACGGATACTGTATGGATGCTAGAGCTATACAATTGATTTATTTTGGTTTATAAATTAATGTCAAGACATTTATGTTATTGATTTCTGAAGCACTTTCTAAATAATAAAAAGGGAGTATTTACTGCATGTATTCATTGATGAAAAAGAAGCCATGTGCAGTAATATAGAAAATTGAGGATGCAACGCATTGGTATGCATCGTGATGCATCGTGATGCATGGGATATCGAATCGAATCGGTGACAGGATAATCGTAATCGAATCGAATCGTGAGACCAGTGAAGATGTACAGCCCTAAAGAGGATGCCACAAAGCTTTGAGAGAGCAGTTCATTACAGACCAGCCTTTGCAGAGAGGCTGTGAGTGGATGGATGAAGTGGAGGATAGATGTGGTCAGCTGTGATCCCTGCCTCTGTCATGTCCAGATTATAGCACATTGGATTAAAAGCGGCCATAAAGCTGTTTTAGCCACAGTGATAGAGGCTCTCCTCTGGTTTACAGTGGAGGCTCCTCCCAGTTGCAGACCAAGGCAGAAAGGATAATTCACAGCCTCACTTTATGAGTTTGCATTGTACCCATGGAGTAATTGCCATTTGGTATGACTTTATTGGATGTGTATGTCATGGCTGTGTGATGACAATGCCACCGACATGCATGTTAAGAAGCAATCTAAGATGAGTGAAGGTATTAAATTCAGTTGTTTTTGTAGATACCAGTTAACAGGATGGTTAACCCTAACCCTAACCCAGAAGTTATTAACAACTCTGTCCTTAAAATGATATGCCTTTGATTTGCATTGAGACAAAAAGGAGCTGTTTAGAATCTGACAGTGTGCAATCAAGATAGTAATTCTTTCTGTGCACAAAAAAAAGGTTGGGGACATCAGCATAGACTTCCTCCTTCCCTTACTTTTTAACAACATTATTTGACTTCTTTGCTCGCCTCTATCTAGTTTGCCGTCTAGCCTCCATAATCATGGTACGGTGATACACCTAGGTATTGTGCAAACGAGCTATTGTTACTGGTTATTGTAGGTAAAGTGCTACTTAAGTTCGGCATCACATACAACATGTATGTGATGCTATGCTACTTAAGTTCGCCATCACATACAACATGTATGTGATGTTATGCTATGTGGCTTTTTATTCCTCCTTCACTAAAATATTTGGTTATAGACTTCTGTATTTATATTTGATCTAGACATATTTTTCGTATTTTAAAATAAGCTATTCCACAATTTCACTGCCCTGTGAACTGCAGTATTAGCCTCTATGGTAAAATACACCTTGTTGGGATCACTTCTAGAGTATTCTGAACAATTCATGGCTTAGATGAGTGTTTAGGGTCAGCTAAATTGCAGTTATATTTCAATTTGAAATGTTAACTGTAACTGTTCATGAAAACCTTTCCTTAAAGTAACTTCTACCTCGTTTGTACATTTCCAGAATGAGAGAGAGCAGATCATGACCACAAATGTCTGGCTCACTCAGGTAAGTGTGATAAACCTCAGTCATACTCTCAGTAATACCACTCAGTCTTGATACATGTCCTTCCCCCTGATCTTGAATTAAACCATATCCACTTTCCTCTCTGTGTGGAACAAACTGCTTCTATAATTGTGCTCCAAACACATTTAACTGATAATGAAGCATGTAATTAGAAAAGAGCTGGTCTTAAATACTTGTTTGAATTTGGACTTGACGGCAGGCCTCTCTTTCTCTCCAGCACTGGGTGGATTACAGGTTATCATGGGACCCTGAAAAGTATGAAGGTATCAAGAAGCTGCGCATTCCCTCCAGACATATCTGGCTACCAGATATTGTCCTGTACAACAAGTAAGAACCACTGAAATCTCATATTGTTATGTTACAGAAAGATTTTACACTTCTATACAGTAAGATGAAATCTATATTTAAGGATAGAGATGGGAAACTTTTTCTGATAGCTAGACATTTAAAAATTAAGATGGGTTCTGATCACCATCATTATCTTTCCAAACTGAATCTCTGAATCTATAGTACAGAGTTTATATATGATTGAAGGTTTTAGTCTTTCCTCTGTGGATTTTGGTTTTGATATTGATTTTCCTGTCCTTGGCTGTAGGAAATAAGCAATAAAACTGTTCAGTATGAGTAGCTCTCCTCTTATCTGCACTTCGCTGTGATTGCAGGGTTGATTACACAGGCCTTGGAGATTGATTAAAAAGCTCTTATAAGTTTTTCCTCTTTCTTCTTCCTCTCATAGCGCTGATGGTACCTATGAGGTAACAGTTTTCACGAATGCCATTGTATTCTCCAATGGCACCATCAACTGGCTCCCCCCGGCCATCTACAAAAGTGCCTGTAAGATCGAGGTCAAGCATTTTCCCTTCGACCTGCAGAACTGCACCCTCAAGTTCCGCTCTTGGACGTATGATCACACCGAGATCGACCTGATCCTGAAGTCTGAGATGGCTAGTATGGATGATTTTACGCCCAGTGGGGAGTGGGATATCCTGGCGCTGCCGGGCAGACGGACTGTCAACCCTCTGGATCCCACATATGTGGACCTCACATATGACTTCATTATTAAGAGGAAGCCCCTTTTCTACACCATAAACCTCATAATTCCTTGCATTTTGATCACCTCTCTGGCCATTCTGGTCTTCTACTTACCCTCAGACTGCGGGGAGAAGATGACCCTCTGCATCTCCGTGCTCTTGGCTCTCACTGTGTTCTTGCTTTTGATCTCAAAGATAGTTCCTCCCACCTCATTGGATGTGCCCCTGATCGGAAAGTACCTGATGTTCACCATGGTGCTCGTGACTTTCTCCATTATCACCAGTGTGTGCGTGCTCAACGTCCACCATCGCTCCCCAAGCACCCACACCATGCCTTCCTGGGTCAAGCTGATATTCCTCGTCAAACTGCCTGCCTTACTCTTCATGAGACGCCCTCAAAATAACTCTGCACGCCAGAGACTTCGCCAGCAGCGGTGTCTACGGGGGAGGAGATCCATTTTGGGTATGGGTTACCCAGTCCGAGCCAAAACAGGTATCACAATGTCAAATTCTGCCCTGCTATCTTCCGACTCTGCCTTCTCTACACCAGGACACAAAACTGTAGTTCCTCCGCTGGGCTACAGCCACTCCAACAGGAAGGGGGACACGCGCCCAAATGATTACCTTCCCAGTAGTTTCACTTCTACCCAGGACTCCCAGCCGAGAAGCAACTCAGACTGGGCTGCTAATGTCCAGGAGGCGGTGAACGGGGTGCGCTTTGTGGCTGAGCACATGATGGGAGATGATGATGATCAGAGTGTATGTATACACATTTCAACTTTTCATTGCATGTATACAATGCTGGTATGAAGTTTGTTTGTAATGTTTGTGCCACTTAATAATCTAATATATCAAATGTACAACTTTAGCAAGATGAACATTTTAAATATTAGGTTTTTTAAAAATATTGCGCACAAATGTCAAGCTATTACATCCCTAGTTCTTTAAAAACATAAACATATCCCGCTATGAAGCTATGTTCTGTCACTATTTCAGCCTCAGTCAAAAATCGAAGTGCTGTAATGGATAATTGCAGCAATCTGACACCATCGTCAATACACTCTTGTTCCCAATAAACTGGATCAAAGGTGTTGGTATAACACTGTACATTCTGTGACACCGGTAATAACTAATAACGTTAGGTACTGGATGTGACCTAGCAAATTAAAGGCAGACCTTGGTCATCAATCCCTTCCTCTGAAAAATCAATAAAAGAAGGAGGGAACCAGGAATGAGAAATTACTTGATTTTAAAACTACCAAGGTCAGCAGCAAAAATGGGATGAATAGGTCAATAGCTTTTTTTAGTGTAGGCAAGCAATAAGGAAAATGTCTTTTAAAAGATATAATTAAAATATTTTCGCATGCAGCATCCTAAGACCAAGCTAACCTAAGCAATATTATTATTTTTATGAATGGATATAATGCATTTGAAAACGTTATACTATTACTGAAGACTCTTTTTCCATTTCAGTCCAATTGAAGGTGGTTCTTGCAGATAATAATCCAGCAAATTGACAAGATGTACAGTATAAGATGTGTAACAAGGGTTTTACAGATTGTTTGTTTGCAAAGAACTTTGATTCAGAAACAGATTCTCTCTCACACTTAGTCACTCATTAATTCACTCTGTTGCATAGGCATTCCTGGCAGTGTCCAGCTATGAAACACTCAATCAAGATTATTTGGTCAAATCTCTACTCTGCATTACTTCTGGTTTATTATTATAAATGTCTGTGTGAACTTTATTGTGACCAAAACCTGCACGCTGCCTAATTTTCATTACATTTCTGTATATTTGCAGGTGATAGAGGACTGGAAGTATGTGGCTATGGTGGTGGATCGTATGTTCCTGTGGATCTTTGTGATAGTGTGTGTGACGGGCACCCTGGGCTTATTTCTGCAGCCTGTCTTCCAGACTCAGATCGTCCCCAACCAACAGCCCAGCTCAGAGGCTCCACGCATATGATGAACCACGAAGAACACGGGGCGAGTTTTGATCATTTTATCTTTTTCAGCAATCAAGAAATTAGGTTAGGGTAAGTATTTTTTTTGTGTTTAGTTAAAGCCTATAACCCTATGGTGAGATGCAAACTCATTGTGTACATCAGTGAAGAGACATGATCTTTTTGCAAGATAACAACATCAAATGTCCCCTGATAATTAAAACCACATGGTCGACAGCAATAAAACCCTCTACAGCACACATTATTTGGTGGAAATTGTACTTCAGTAAGGGACCTCAAGTGACATTAGAGGTCATTTCCTTTAATGTCTAAGGACAACTGCAGACCTGGATTGAATGAAGCTTTCACCCCACTGAAGTATGCTGAACAGTTACAGAAATACACCAAATATGTCTGAGAAGTGATTAACATCTTTCAGCAAGATGTTGGGGCAACTGTGACTCAGAAGGACAGTAGTTCATTACCCCGCCGCTGCAGTCAACATATTGATATGTCCTCCGTCAAGATACTTAACCCCAAATTGCTCCAGATGGCATGGCCAACGGTGTGTGAGTGAGTACGGATGTTAGTTTCCCTAAGCAGGTGGCACCTTCAGAGGCGTTTTTATATGTACAAAAGTGGTGGGGCGCGAACAACTTAGATGTGTATACATAAGCTTCTGGTGCTTTTTTAAACACGTAAACAAATAACTGTTGGCTATCCATGGTTCCGATAGAGAGAGAGGGGGGGGGGGGGATATAAGGAAAACACAGACACTCATCACCGAGGTCACAATATCAGTCGATCCAGCAGAGCAATAGCCTATAGGCAAAACACAGAAGAGCAACAAAATATATGACATCAAACAAACTTACCAAAGCTGAAGTAGATGGTCAACTTAATTCACTTTCTTTCCGTTTTACTGATTGTAATCGCTATACGCTGCTCTCTCTCGTCTCCTCTTCACTACAGGGTGAAAACAACACTTTTCTCGGCACACGTACTTACAGCCAATCAGCTCTCTGAATTATGAGATGACGTTTGGTAGGTATGCCAGCATTATGCCCCACTGGTGATTATTTTTTTGCCGCACACATTGAATAGAAAAATACTCTGAGCATGCGCAGTGTAGTTTTTACAGTACACGTTCATTTCTACAGCAGAGAACACGGCTCAATAGGCACACTGTGGACACTAATTGGAAGAACGCAGACTAAAACAGCAATGCACAGACGAATCAGATGACTAAACATGATCTTAAAATATATTTTAACATATATAATTTTTGCATATTTTTTTAATTATTATTTGCATTACTTTCTAATAACCAGTCGCCACTGGGCACCTTGTATGGCAGCCTATGCCTTTGTTTAAATGCTGTCTTGTATTTAAAAGTGCTTTGAGGGGTCGCAAAGACTGCAAAAGCGCTATATAAATGCAGTCCATTTACCATTTACTTTATTATGTGTTAAGCTTGTATAACCATGTCATTGGAATGTGATGTGTGATTAAAGAATGAGTAATGCCCTCTTTCAGTTTGATTAAATGTATGAAATCCACAATAAAGTATTAAAATAGTCAGGGTCTTGCCAAAGTGCTGAGTTAATCTGTCTTACTGGTGATAAAGTGTGTCCTTAGCGCCAATACGTTTGCTGAAGATGTGCCAATTAGAACATTTCATCACACAGATAAGACAGCTGTTCACTTGAAATGTGAGAGTGTGTGACCTGGCAAAAAATAATGTTGATACAACAAAACTGTCAGGGCTGCAGCTGATCTGGACCACATTGTCTTCTTGAGGCGCAGTGCTTTTGCCAAAGTTAAAGCCATAACCCTGACACGTATACTTAATCAAAGCACTTCTTAAAATATCTGCACAATGGCTATCAGTACCCAATGTTGTAATAATTTATTTAAATGTAGTAACGCTTCAAAATGTATTAATATTTTCTCTCCACCTGATTGAAATTGTAAAAAAAACAATAATGTAATATTGTTATAAACACTTCTGACTAAGAGGACATCGAGTGTTTCATAGAGATTTATTGTGACATTTCACCTCCACTGCTTGCTTATGTAACAAAATCCTTACCTTTGCAGATTGAATCATATTGGATGGTGTCTAATCTAAAATCCTGGGCAAATGGACCAATTAGCATGGGAGTGGGCACGTTCATTTACCATTGATAGGGATGTTAGTTTAATGCATCTATTGCAAAACACACTTACTGTAATAGGTCTTGCCTTATCGGTAAAATGTAAGTATTTTTACAATAAAGTACAATTTCTTACATTTTGAAATCCAAATGAGTGCAAATTCTATAGCATTTTCAGGCACTACGATAAAAAAAACATGTTTTTTAAAATTGTGTGCAACATGGTGATTAAGTGTATTTGTTCCAGACACTGTAATCTTATGGAAATTAATGTGTTTCATTCCACAAGAGGTAATGTCTGTCACCAACAGAAAAGGTACAGGCAGTTTCAGGCCGACAAAGAAATGATGCTTCACAAAGAAAACACTTGAGCAAATGCTGAAGTAAACGCTCACCAACACACAACCTTTACAGCTCAATAAGCTGTGCTGAGTGGGCTCGTTTGAGATTCTGCAGGCTGTTCCTTCTTTTGAGAGACAGCAATCAACATCTTTGTTAATGCTTTTCCTTGATCTCTCTTTACAGTTTTTAGCATCATGCAGGGATTTCTCATTCATCTTTCAGCTCCACTGTCATTAGTGGAGAGAGACATTGCACTGCCACGGCATATCCATCAACAATTCCTCATCTGTTTCAGTCGAAACAAAGCGGGAGGAGTCGTCATTCAACACTCGATGAAAGGTCCAATAAATCACAAGCCCAGTGTCATTAGTCTCCAATAAGATATGCATGGAGGCATTGTCCTTGGGGATTGATCTGCCACTTAAGCAATCATTGACGAGTTTCTAACAAGAATCCGCCATTACAAAGTCCTCAAAAATGTTAGGGTCCAGTCAAAATGACTTCTTCCACTTCCTTTTACATATACAGACGTTTTGCAACATGACACACCTGAGTTGAAAACTTGCATAAGTGCATATAACAACCTAAGTTTCATTCTGCACTGTCTGTGAAAATGAAGGTTAAATTAACATTTGTTGGGCATCTATGTGATGTGAAATTAAACCCACATGGGGACAGTTCTTGCCAACACTTGCCCCACTTAAATGAGTTGACAGTGCAGGGTCAGACACCACACAGCATCTCTGCTGCTGGGAGGGGTTTATTTATCGTTTGGGGGTCACTTCAGCAGGGTGAATGTTTGCTGAAAAGCTCTCAGACCTACCCTTCATCCAGCAGAAGGACACAGCTGTCTCTGAACTGACAATAAAGATTGGAAAAAAGGAAAATCCGAGTCAAAGACTGATCTATTTTCAAATTAAAAGTGGTCATCGGGCAAATATTGACATATTTTTCTTATTTTTTAAATAAAATCAATAAATAATCAATGAAGAAGGATTCTGTTGTGCTCACAAGCTGTTGCTGAGGGCCGAACATTAGCACATGCAGTGGATATTGATCTTGTCCTACGAAATGAAGGCTATTTGTTTATTTAATATGGACTTATTTAATAAACACTGTGATGAGAAGATCTGTGTGAATTCATCGTGGGCACAACCTGGTGCTCGAAAGGTCTTTATGCAGCAGTCCCTAAAAATGATACGTGTTTTTTATATATATTTAACACTTATTTCCGACTAATATTTCTTTATGAATGTGAGATTTTAACAACCAAAGTTCAGTTGCTCTGCTTCTTTTACACTGCAGGTATATTTTGATAACATTTTGACTGACAGTTAAAGCCCACACATTTTAGAGTCGCATTTAAATGCTACATCCGGATTGGTGCCTGGAAGTACGTGACATCACTCTTTTCCAAATTAGCCCCGCCCACTTCAAACAAGTGAGTTAAGCACAGAGAAAAAGAAATACTGAAATTAAGTAATATAACTAAAAACTGCAGTAGATTCGGCAATAAAAACTATTTTAATGTAGGATCAAATCACCTCAAGGTTGAAGCTGATTAAGAAAATATGTTTTAGGGGGATTAAAGGGACGGACGTTTCTGTCGTGGCCCTTGCTGCAAACGTGTTTCATGTATTGAATTCACTCTGTTGGTTTTTTTCCAATTCATAAACGAGAAAACTGCGTGGGAAACAACAAAGCACTGATATCCTGTAAGGAACTAGGCAATGTCAAGGCTGTTTTGTGTGACCTACTGCACGTCTGTTGTGATCTTTAAGTGACAAACTCGCAGTGACATTGAATGTATCAGATTAGGTGGCAGTAGGTTTGCAGTGAGCCCCCTCCTCAGTGGCTCAGTGTGGCTCTTCCTCCTCTCTGCCTCCTCTCTGCCTCCTCTCTTCCTCCTCTCAGCCTCCTCTCAGCCTCCTCTCCTCTCTTCCTCCTCTCTTCCTCCCCTCTACCTCCCTCTGGAGCTGCGGACGCGCCTTCACTCTTCACTTTCTCCTTCTGTCTGCCGCTGCTGCCTCTGACCCTGGATACAAAATACAGACTTGTGATTTGAAAAACAATGGAAGCCACTTTTTGCTCCGTTTTGCTCTCATGCTTCTTCCTCCTGTTTCATCTAGAAGGTGAGTTATTAGCTTCTACTTATCATCTAGCATTTTGTTACTTGTTGTTTGACATTGCTGTTAAGTATTAATGGCACAATTAAAGATGCATTTTTTTAATTGTAGGGAATAAGCATTTACAATTGGATTAATTAATAAAAAAATATGTGTATTATATTGTTAGGTTATTTGGTCATTATGAAGTTATTTAAAAAATATCAAAAACACACATTTGAAGGCTCTTACTGTCAATCAAATTGGATTAAACCATTCCTAGACATTTAAAAAAATAGCCGATCAGCTGAGTTTTGAAATATACCTAATATCAAAACCTTGCAAAGAAAATGTCTTCTCTTTTTGAGATTATTGTATATTTGATGTGCATGTTCCTTGTTTACTAAAGACATTAAAATGTAAGACAAATACTCATTAAAATGAAGGTAATAAATGATGACTTGACATGGCTATTGATGGATCAAAGGTGTTGGTATAACACTGTACATTCTGTGACACCGGTAATAACTAATAACGTTAAGTACTGGATGTGACCTATAGCAAATTAAAGGCAGACCTTGGTCATCAATCCCTTCCTCTGAAAAATCAATCAAAGAAGGAGGGAACCAGGAATGAGAAATTACTTGATTTTAAAACTACCAAGGTCAGCAGCAAAAATGGGATGAATAGGTCAATAGCTTTGTTTAGTGTATAGGCAAGCAATAAGGAAAATGTCTTTTAAAAAATATAATTAAAATATTTTCACATGCAGCATCCTAAGACCAAGCTAACCTAAGCAATATTATTATGTTTATGAATGGATATAATGCATTTGAAAACGTTATACTATTACTGAAGACTCTTTTTCCATTTCAGTCCAATTGAAGGTGGTTCTTGCAGATAATAATCCAGCAAATTGACAAGATGTACAGTATAAGATGTGTAACAAGGGTGTAGCGGCAATAACTCCCTATGAGTTAGCTGCTGAGAGGCTAAAAAGTGCTCTTTGCTGTGACGCGTTCGTGTAAGAGTCCGTAGTCATTTGTAGTCCATGGTGTTAATAAAACGAAAA